TCACTTGACTCTGATGATGACTTCCGCACAGGTTGTCGAAACGTCAGTCACTGCCACCGACAACAGTCCTTCTCAGGACTACACTCACCCGGACGATCAGACTACACCTTCACATGTTACCCCCGGGTTCAAACCATTTACTACATTGTACAGTGTAAAGGTTTTTGCTGAAACATATTATGATTTGTGTTGTTTACAGAAAACAGTCGTGGCTGTGTTAGACCAGATGGTGAACCCTTATTGGCCATATCTTCCACAGCGCCAAGAAAACTATGAAACTGAAATGGAAAGAGAGGCAATTGAGGGACTCTGGAATACGATCTCTGATGATCCATTAAACTATCATTTTTATTATCATATTTTGGATGGAGATGAAGGTGGATGGCCCCGCAAGATTATGGCCTCAGATGGACACCAGCAGATAGAAAACACATGTTTTAATGGGAAAGACAAGTCTTGTTTACATGCTATTGCAAAGAGCAACAACAAACTAAGTTTAAACAAAAAAATTCTGTAACTACTTAGAAATTGCTAGCTGAAGTAAAATGTGTAATCTTAAGATATTTAGAAAAAGTTCTATCCAGATTTAGATGTTGATAACTATTAACAAAGAACCAAGTTTTTTTTCGGAAAAATCCATTTATTGGGATTAAGCAATCAAATAGGTCTATTTAATGTAAAATCAGGTGAAAAAGTTAGGGTTAGGGTATCTTTTAGGGTTAGGGTTAATACATAATTTTACTTAACTGCAGGAGTTTGATTCTCAGATCACTATTAACCCACGTTTTAGACAGAAATCAATTCTTGATTTTTATCTTTAGGAAGCTTTGCAGCATCCTGTGGTCAGAATGTTAATTAAATCAAAATGGAGAAGCTATGGACACTTGTTTCTGAGGTAACTTAGTTGTAAAAGCAAGGTCAAAATTTTAATTATTAGAAACAGTTGTATCACATTTACCTTTATATACAGGTGTTGAATTAGGTACTGATGAACTGGTAATTAAGGGTGAGACAAAATGTATTGAGTATATTTTTGCCCCCATACATACAATCAGCTGGTGAAAGCAGTTCGCTAAGCAGTACCATTTAGTCTTATTATGGTATTTCTTAGAACAAATTTTGAAGCCTTTAATCTCTCAAAGGTTAATGAAAAAGAAAAAAATTATATAGATATATATAATAGAAAACAGGATGATCAACTGAAGACTTGACTTGGCATTTATTATTATTTAGTTTCGTACTACACAGCTTGTGTAGCACTCGTCGGATAAAATTGCCAAATGCAAACTTACAAGCCCAGCTGTTCTCTCTGGATCCCCATGGTCCAAATAAAAGAAGGGAATTTCATTCTAAAATCAGAATTTGCTCTAATTAATTAATTTTCTATCTTGTATTATCCGCTATTAATTACTCATTCAAAGGCCCTTTTCTTGGATTTTGTCAGCCTTTTAGGTGTTGATTAGACTCAGAGGTCTTGCTAAGGGACCTTATTATGATTAGTATCATTTAAGGGCTCCTCCAGGGATTTTGTTGCTAATTAAATGCCCTTTCAGGCTCCAAAGGCCTCGTTTTGGGATTTTGTTACGATTTACAGTTGTAGTTAAGAGTAGGGTTACCCTCTTCTAGTTTTTCTCGTATTACTTGTTTTTTGGATTTTGTCTCTTGTGTTTTGTCCATTGTTTTCTTTGTGTCTCGGTTTTTTGTCATCTTAGTAGCACCAGTTCATTAGTCGTCACATGTAACTGCGTAATCACTAGCACTTCGTTCCTATTTAAAGCTATTTTTTAAAAAGAGGTAAATAACTGAAGAAGGTCTTTGACCGAAATGATTTTACTAAAATTTTTTATCATTTTTACGTCAGAAGTAAGACAGCTTATTATTACCAAGAACTTAATGTTTTATATCTCATTTGACTTTCTAATCCCATCCCATTTCTCCGTTTTATAGTCCTGTGGAGTTAATTATAATTACTTTTCTCTTCTGCAGTCTCCAAGCAGCATTGTTTTGCATCTTCTTGCTGTTCATGTCATATTCTCTGCTGCATGCTTCAACCAAACTGGACCCCACCCAGTACAGTGATGCACTGGACTCACTGCGTGGATTTTGTGAAGTTTTCACTCTACTTATGGTTGTGTTTTACATCTGTGAGGAAATAAATCAGATTAGAATGTGAGTAGTTACAGCAAGGGTTACTACGAAAATTTCATTAAGACCTTGTGTATGATTCCAATTGAGCTAACCGCCTCCCGTTTAGCTCGAGTTGTTAGAGCGCTGGACTGGTGTGCGGGAGGTCGAGGTCGATGGTTCGAGCCCCGGCCGGACCAACACTCAAGGTCTTAAAATAACTAAGAAGAATGCGCTACCTTTCTATAATATCAAGAAATGGATAGACATTCCAGTCTTCTCGGATAAGGACGAATAAACCGTAGGTCTCGTCTCCTGCATCTGTTGATTCGTTAATTTGGTTAGGCAGGGGACGTTAAAGAACCCACTCACGAGATTACTGTGATGTGGTCTGGTCTGTTTACTGGGAATTGGGGGGG